AGAAAATGCATAATGCAGCTGACTTGATTACTAGTGACGTTGGGTAGATGCAACAGCATTCACTGTGAAATCAAAATGGCCTGATGGTCTGTATGATAAGACTCTTACAGTATGGATTTCAAACTAAGAATTTAGATTACATCCATTAATTTTGAGTTCTATAGCTCACAGAAGGAATGCAGAATCCAGAAGCGATGAATACCAGTTTGAACTTGTAACTTGAGAAAGATCTTACATGGGATTATCCCACTTTTCAGTGGTAGAAGCTGTTATGGCAGGATGTAGACCATGATCTCAGACCTTACAGATAAAATTTAAAAGGAAAGAATGTCAAAGCAAATTACATCCCTTTAGTATCAAGAAAGGTGCTGGTAGATTTTCGGCAGCTGTAAATAAGGTTATTTAGGAGTCACATAAGTTAAAAAAGCTTTAATTATACTTCTGATTAATGGAGTAGTTCTGTTTCTCAAACTTACATTCTCCTAAATTAAAAGAAGCAATGTTGTATTCTAATAATGTCCATAGGATTTTCAAAGTAAAAAAGGTATTTATTAGCCAACTGCCCCTTTAGCCTTACAGTTTCTTAACGCAACTTCCAACGTTTATTATAGTCTTTGCTGACACTTCTCAATCTCACTATATCTCTAGCATGAAATCCTTTTAGAAAATGAATTCCATTTAAATCAGCCATTAAGAAGTCACCAAAACTTTCACTTCCACAGCAGAGATATCATGTATAGTCAATTTGAAAATATATCAGTTAATGAGTTGTATTTTGTTTAGATGTACCTAAGTCCTACATCTGTCCAGCAGCCGTATTTGGTAGAATAATAAAATCACCAATATTGGAAAAGACACACACAATCATCTAAGTCCAACCATCAACTTACCACCAATATTTCCACACTAAATCATGTCCCTCACTACAACATCTAAATGCTTCTTGAACACTTCCAGGGGATGATTGGGCCCATTCCATCACTCCTTCAGAGAATAAATTTTTCCTAGTACATAACTTTTTCCTAGTATGTAACTTATTTTTTCCTCTGTAACTTGATGCTATTCCCTCTAGTCCTGTTGCTACTTACACAGGAGAAGAGGACAATATCTCCCTCGCCACATCCCTCTTTCAGGTATTTATAGAGTGATATGGTTTCCTCCTCTTCCACAAACAAAAAAATCCCAGTTTCATCAGCAGTTCCTCACAAGACTTCCAGCTGTAAACACCTGAAGAATCCCAGAGACTATAAAGTAGATTTTTAATGAATGTACCTGAAATTATTTATGAAAGTTCCACTCCACCTGCATGTGCTTCATCACAATCAGTTCTTCCCTACTTTTGCCCTTTCTGAAACAGTGAAAAATTAGGCAGGGTCCTTCTACCCAGTTCATGGTCATGGTCTGAAGTTACTTTACAGGTAAATTTTAACTGGCCACACATGACTCCATTTAAACAGCTACATATTGCTGTTTCTAAAATATGCTGCACTTACAGAAAACCTACAACATAAAAGAGAGGTGTACTTTTTCTCTCTATAAAGAATTGCAACAGTATGCTATAGTTTTCTATCAAGCTATGCCATTGCACCATCTAACTATTCTTGATTTTTTTCCTGTGCACAACAAACTGGGGTACCTTATGTTCTAAATCAGTATTTAGACATAAACATTCTTGCTTTTCAAGCATATAAAGAGAAATCAATGTGTTTTGATTTTTTCTTGTTTTAAGGCCTCAATGGTTTAAATTTCTGCCTGCAATCGTCTGAGAAATAGGTGAGAAAGCACAGTATATAGCAATGCCAATCTACAGACTCATTTACGAATAAATTAAAGATATTTTTAGCTACCTAATAAACACTGCATACCTAAACCCACCAGCTCCTCACTCTTGCTTTCAGATATAACTGAGATGCAGTTTACATTCAGCAAGTACATTCCTTCATTGTACTCCCATCTAGGGCTTCAAAACAATAAAAACAAAGACAAGTTCAAGAATCCTGATGAAAACCATTTACAACAGACAACATTTCTGTAACGCTCTTTCATCCTTTTCCCTTATGATAAGCTAACATTCTCTTTTCCAATACAGATACAAGATATTTTCATTCATCTAGATTCCAAGACCTACAACTCTGGAAAAGCACGGGCTTATCGCTTGGAGAATGAATCAGTGAAGGTCACAGGCACCTTCTGTAATCAATACAAACGGAGTTTTGTGGATAACTGGGCCATTGCGTAGTACTTTATGACACTAAGCATTGACGTACTTCAGGTCAGCACTCCAAAAAGCCCCAAAAATCATCAACAGAAATGCTAAAATAGTTCCCAATTACCACATATTTTACAGAGCTGGTGTATATGAATATTCTGCATTCAATAAAATGCATAAGCAGAACTGAAGGCAAGTCAGATGAACCTCTACCAGGGAATGAGCAAGACTTGGCTTGCAGTTTTTTATTTTGGAATGTTGTGGGAGGAAAATATCAAAACAAAATAAGTTTGCCTTAAGATTGATAAAGATTAAATGTTTCAATGCTCTGATAAATAGTCTTTTTTTTTTCCGTCCCAACTATTAAGCAGATATAACTGAAATTCACAAGTAATATTAAATGAAACTGAAATTTACTATTTGCCTCAGAAATTTTGTCCGGATCCAGTTACATAACTATTCAGAAAATGCATAACTATATTGATGTAGAAAATTGTAACATGTTAAAGTGACATTTCTTGCAGAGTATTAGCCTGAATACTCACACCATTTCATATATATTTCACTTATCTATTTAGCAGTTTTAGCATCCGCACATATCTGCTGTAAGATTGGAAAGAAGTCCTAATACCAGTTGTGAAAGATTTTTCACTCTCATGCATATGAAACAATGAACCTGGAACCCTGCTGCAAAAGTGCTGTATTACAATCTGGGATGGTGGAAGAGCTAGAGTTAGGTAAATTAATGTTGGAACTGACTCCATTAACTACTGAAACAGTGTGTCTTGGATGAAGGCCAGCTGTCTTCTGAAAACCAACTGGAATTGAAATCATGGCTGAATACTTCAAGGAGAATGTATTTGAATACATCATTTAGCCCAAGTTGTTAGTACTCTGAGTACATACTTTGCTAGGTTTTTTGATCTTTTATTAGCTCTTTTTCTATGCTTCCAATCCCCTTCACAGCTCTCCTACTGTGTGGATTATTATCTCTGAAGTTTCCTACATGACTTATGTCACCAATAGCTTTTATACGGTATTCTATCCCCTGAAAAACAGACATTATTAATGAATGCTGATCTACCAAAGATGAAGTTTTAAATTAGATGATTTTCAGCAAAAAAGAGAATATTTGCTAAAAACAAAGCCTACTGTAAGTTAGAACAATGTGTCATGGGTTGAGACTTTAAATGCTACAAAGGCATCAGCATGAACTTCAGTGAAACAAGGCATACACATACCAATTTCTCATATTTCTTTGACTTTAAATTCAGTACTGCACTAAAAACCATTAACAGTTGCTTTTCAAAGGAATTAATTAGTACTATTTTTCCTGAAACTCTTTTATTATTCTTAAATGTATATGGGAAAAGAGGTCCCCAATTACACTAACTTAGGACTGTCATACATGTCATATATGAAGTTTCTTTTCATATAGTTAACTTGAATTGGTCAGTTTAAAGAAGCTTTACACATGTAGAAAGTTTAAAAAGTTGTTTATTAAATACTTCAGCTGTAATTCATTTTAAAATCCTATTAAGTTTGGTTACACAAGACTGCATTTAATATACTTAAAGATGCAGTACTCCTTAGCTGTGACATATTTATGGACTGAACATTAAAAAGTTTATAAAATAAGGCAATATATTCTCAGTGTCAAACAGCTCTCAATGAAGACAATTTTTCAGTCTGTCTGTTTGTAATTAGGTATGAAATAATTTATGATTATAAAGATACGTGAGTTATTTTTTGTAGAATATTGTATTTTCTTACAGAAAGGTTTCCAAAAATATAACAAGGCCTCATAAATTACTTATCTTAGAGTTTAGACAGATTTCTTGTGGAATTAAAAAAAACCATATGGATTCAATCTCAACAGCATGTCTCAAAAAATAATAAATAGGATAAACACTGTCAAACTTGAAAGTAGATCTAGGTCTGGGAATTGGTGCAATGGAAATCATTTGAACCCCTTAGAAACGTAATGAGAACCTCAGAAGATTTACTTCAGATAAGGATTCAGAGTTTGGATGTTTATTTGTTGTGTAGCCAGTTTTATCTGCTAATCTAGAAACTGGAGTGGAAACCTTGCATGATCAGATTCTCTAATCAGATTTCTATTGAAATTTCATGTTCTGTATGTTCTATGATATTATAAACCTTTGGTGACAATGAAAATACGCTTAGTAAAAGGTTTTATTTTGACTGTAAAAAAAAAAAATTAAACTTAAAGAAATCTGCAGCTTAAGTAGCATTTTAGTTTATTCAATGCTTGTCCTAGCTTGCCTTTCTCCATATCCACAGAAAAACTCAATCAAGGACACTTTAGCTATGTTTCACAGCCATTCACAAGCAAGGGAGACTGAAACACCATTTCAGCTTCTGTGCTCTACCAGTCTTTCCAGACAATTCCAGCCAGAGGTACTTGTGCAACAGTAGTCAGAATAGCACAAACAAGGAGGAAAGAAAGAGAATGTGGATACTAAAAAGCTCTGCAGAAAGTTGTCATGCTGTTAAAATATACAATAAATAACTTAAATTCTGTAGAGGTCTTCATTTTACACAATGATTAAAATTCCAATAATGTGATTATAATGAAGCTGTTTTTCATGTACAAAAAATTAATATAGAGTAATTTTTAATTTTTTTTTTCTTCTTTCTTGCTACTCAAAAAATGCCTAGAAGGTATAATAGTAACCATGCTGGAAAAAAAAAAAAATCACATCTGATGTTGAAGTTTCAGAAATTTTACCTAAACTGCAACTTTTTTTTTTTTTCCTTATAATATTACTTGTTTCAAAAAAGAGGGATACACTGATAATGAATGTGCTTCTTCAACCATGACAATAGTATTGCTACTTCTTTCTCATAATGTTATGGGACTCCAGGCAGTCCAAAACTTCATCCTGAAATGATGGCATATTTCATGATTATGTCCAACTCCGGTAGATAAGAGCATTTATATGCTAATAACAGCATTATGGGTAACTCTGGAATTTTACCATATGTGATGAAGCTTTTAATCACAATAAGCCTCATGGGCTCAATATATCTACTTCCCCACAAAAATTCATAATAGCTACATAGGTGATCCAAAACGTATTTCCTTTAAATCAACTTTTAGGGCTCTGTAAAATATGAAATGAATGTGAAAAGAGAATATTTGGTACCTTGAAGAATTGAGTTACTAATATGATGTGGGTTATGCATAGCTTTTATTTTCTCTAGTGATTTGAAGAAGTTATGTCATGGTGACTGGGTGCTGTTTGGGAAAAAGAAGAATCAAATGTAATCTAAAAAGCCACTAAACCATCTTCCCACGGGAAGCATTAGTTTACAGTTCACAATTGGAACTTATTCTGACTTTAAAGGAATGAAACTGCTTAACACTAGCCGTGCTTCCTGTAAAAGTTGCTTGACCTGTTTATACCAGCAACCATTAGGAATGTGCCTTTTTACAGTTGACAGCATTGTGTATCCAGGTGGTCTCAGTGCTTCCATTATACGTTCAGTTAGTTCCTATCTGGAACAGAAAATTTCTTGTAATTCTGGGATCACTTCATTGAAGTCTAACTTAACAACACAATAGCAAATCAACCTTCCTATCACCAGGTTTGAGGACAATGGTTTGCATTGGGGGGAAAAAAAAAGTATACTGGATCTGTGTTTACATTATTTATTACAAATAAACTTAATTTCAGCAAATTTACATCACGTCACCTGTCTCCATTAACTAAGGATGATGCCTCCAACACCCCCCTTGGAAAGATGCAAATTACTCAGTTTTCTGTAACTGTTCTGATATGAGAAAGTGCAGTCCATAGTGCTACTAAATGGATTTGAGGCAGAAGATTTTTCACAAGGATGTATGGAGGAAAAACATCTATTTTGGTAATAAAGAAATGTTGTAGGATCCAGAATGACTCAAATTCTTTTCAAACTTTTAATAGACTAGATTTTCTTTTTTTTTTTTTTCCCCTTGTTTAATAATACAACATCAAGTCTGCCAATGAAATAATTATCTGCATAGCATATATTGTTTCTAACAAATTCTGCTTCCACTTTAAAGTAGTGGGTTTCTTCCAGATGTCAATTTTTGTTAAATTCTTTCACATACATCAGTGATTAATAACTAAAACATATGCATAATTCCAAAGAGGCTGTTGATTCTCCATACCAAGAATTGAATAAATGTAACAAATGAAAATGCACATTAAGATTTCTTTTCCAAGTCAGGCTACAGATTCCTAGGAAACTTAGGAGAATATTCCTTCTTTAGAAGTAAATCCAATATTTGTAAGAAGTTTTCAAAGTATATAAACGTATCCAAGTTGTTTTCATGACGATATTTAAGCAGGGTGTCTAACCTGATCTAACCATGCAATGATCCTGCTTGGAGGACAAGCTGGAATACACACCTCCTGAAATCCCTTCAAACCTGAACTGTTCTGTGATGTGACACCACAGTGCTCATCATCTCTGCCTTCTAGACAGCCATCACTTACACTCCACCTCATACAATAATTTTTGCAACCTGTCCTCTTGTTGCTCTAGGGTTTGATATAGACAGAAAGAGGAGTTGATGGAAAACATTGGGTTCACAGACTCTGGCAGCTGGTATGAGAAAACTGCGGGAGAGTGGCTCACTCTGGGAGTAAAGCAAGCTCTTGCACAGCGTACTGAAATGGTTTAAGAGAACTCAGAGTACAATACAAAACAATTTTGTAGACTTCATTCACTCTCACAGCCTCCCAGCCAGTTATTGAAACAGATCTATTTCAACTTCAATGTTCACAGTTGCAACGGTAGTCATTGTAGTACCTTTAATTTTCTTTGCAACACTCACGCCAAAGAAGTTCATGAAATTTATCTCTGATAAGGCTGTTAATATTTGTTTGTTGTTTAATTCAAATTCTAATCTTATTAATCTTACTAAAAGTTTAGTAAAAGTTTCTGACATGAAAAAAAGTAGTGTGGAAGGCAAACACTGAAAGAGAAAGAAGTGACTTTCTCTGAAATGTCCATTTAAAAATGCAATTTAAAAACAGTTCCTGAGCAGTATTCAGATTTTTCTTTTCAGGCCTCTTTACCTGCCTTTCTTCACAGAATATTTTGGTTATGCTTTAAAAGTACCCAGTATGTGTGAGAAAAGTTCCAGCAAAAACAGTTCAGTATTGCCTATACAATGTTAGTATCACATGAAGAATAAAATAAATTCCAAATTCTTTATTTCTAATTTCTGAAGCAAATGATGAATACCCTGTAATTAAATTCCCAAAGAGCACCATAGACAGCAAACATTGAGAGTTCATCACTTTCATTATATAGATAATGATTCCAGTCTCCTCTAGGAAAGATAATACACAGTAGAGAAAACTAAAACCATGATCAAGATCTTCTGAGGCAAGACAGGGTTTTCTCAGACTCTCATCAGTTTGACTTCCTCCATTAAAAGCTGTTGAAAATTCAGCACTGTATTCCAAATTGTAATTGAAAGAACAGGGTGTTAGTACTTTATCCTTTTACTTCAGGAGATAAAGAACATTAAAAGTGGACTCAAACTACTTCAACCAGCTACGTCCTGAATACAGGCCTGAAGATTGGGTCTGGAACATCAAGGTGCATATCCCACCTAACTGTGCAGTTCCTCACAGTAAAAGCAGTAGCAGTACTTAGAGTCTGGCCAAATTTTGAACCAGAACACAGCTGCCTTGTTAGAAGGGCTTCCACTCCATGAATTCCAAAGACAAACTGAAAGTCGCCTCTTCTAAAATATTAAGCTACCATCCGCTAACTCCAGACTCTAAGGTTTTCAGCTACCATAATAATTGCCACATTACAAGAATCTGGAGAGAATGAAAAGGTTTAGTGTTTACTTTCCAGCTGAACAGCAGCAGGAGTAGCAGAGAGAACTACACACAACAGATGTTCAGCATGTCATTAATAAAATTCTGAAAGATACTCAGGTATTACAGAGATGTAAGGTCTACAGACTTCAGCATCATACAAGGTAAGACAAAACTATTACTATATGACCTAGACAATTTTATCTTTATAATATCCTTAAGTGTTCATATATCATGAGTGAGAATTTGATCTTTTTGGTTGCTGTTACTTGGAGGATCACTCCACTTTAAATCAGGCAACAACTGTATAATGTATACAGTTGAACTTCGGTTATCCTTATTAAATAATCTACTAGCAGTCAATGAGAATTTAAATTAAAATCTTCTGCCTTTTGAATGCATAATTAGAAAACTTCATTTGAACCAATATTTTCCACGATGAAAGCTACAAAAAAAAAAAAAAAGACTATTATTTTGAGGAGATAAAAATATGAAAAAGATAAAAGCTCAGAATAAACCAGAGTCAATTTACTTTTATCCTTTTTTTCCCCTGACAGAAGACATTTCACTAGCAGTACTAGAAATGAACTGAGCTTGCCATAGTCTACAGGTGGCTTTGTTTTAGTTGTCCTTTTGATGTATTTTAGCTAGAATAAAAATTTTTTTCTAAAGTCCTTTTTGACATAATGGTCTTATAAACTGAACTCCTATGTAACTAAACAAAACACTAACAATGGTGAAAAGATCTATTTTTTTAATGCACTTCTCACATGTATAGCCTGCAACTTAACTGTATTTAAATCAACTATAATACAGAAGTAATATATCATATTTACTCTGTTATTTTCATTTCCAAATATGAAAATTTCAGTCTTTTTCCTCAGAAACCCCTTCCACAGCCTCTCTAGCCAAATTCCTCTGCCCAAGCTAGCTTTCCTGTACTGTTGTACCGCAGTCTTACACATCACTTCATATCTTCTGTGTCCATTCCTTTGATTCAATGGAATTTATCCTTAATGCAGGTTATCTGAGGATACTTTAGGCAGAAGTACAACTTCAAAATGAATGTGAGTCAGATGTAACATATCATACACATACTATATGTTATGAGTCCTGAAGATTCATATTTTTCAGTGGAAAAATGGAAAAGTTGTTCCAGCTCACAGATCTATCTAGCAGAAGGCTCACTCAGAATCATAGAATTCTAGTATAGGTAAGGTTGGAAAAAAAAAAAAAAAAAAAAAAGCACTAAGATCATCTAGTCCAACCATCAGCCCCTCACCACCATAAACTGAACCATATCACTCAATGCAACATCTATTCTTCGCTTGAAAACCTCCAGGGTGAAGGCATGCTTTGATCTAGTCAAGCAGTGTGGCCTGAAAGACCTTCAAAGGGTTTTTAAAGGTCTCAGATGATTAATTAATAAAAGCTATTGAGCAGGCAAAAGAGAACTGGAGGACATCAGCAAAAGGTAGAGAAACAGAATGATGTAAAAGAATGAAGATTTTTGACACAAATTGAGTGTACAACTTCAAGGTACATATTTTACTCATAGAGTTGCATAAAATAATATGTACTTGTATTTTTTTTTTTCCAAAGCACTGTATTTTTTTTTTTCATTTCCAAGAATAATTATGCTTCCAGCAATGCTAACGCATGAAAATTTTAACATAAAATTTCCCACTATTAAGTGAGCAAATTTGAAATGTTAGAATAAAAATAGTTCTACAAAATTACCTGAAGTGACCACTTCTGCTCCATTAATGAGGAGGGGAATGATAACCCAGTAAATCCCAAATAACTTCTGCTTGTATAGATTATGCACAGTATATGCCTCAGATATTGCAAGTATGCACAGTCATGCCTCAGTAGCATGAATGTCACAGATTATCCTGTTCAAGTGATAGATATGTTAGATCTGACATTGTCTTTCCTCAAAGCAAGGCTTAGGGAAAGGTTTGAATCCTTACTACTCTTCACTTCTCTTTTTTTTCCCTTTTGCAAATGATGCAACACTTTTGGAGTCTTTTTGTAGTATTCCAAGCCAGAGAGTGTGA